TTTATCAAGGGCTCGCCCGGGCCGGTCGGGGCACAGCAACCGCCGCCGCTCTGCGCCCAACGGCCCCGCGCGCGCCCTTAACGGCCGCCAGCGGCGGCGGGGAGAGAGGCGGGGACGCTGCGCCCGCCGGGCGCCCCGAGGCAGCCTCGGCGCGGGGGCGAGCGGCGCCCAGCACAAAGCCCGACCTCCCTCCCCCGCGTGCCCCGCCATGACGCGGGCAGAGAGGCGGGCAGCGGGAGGGCGCGGCCCGCCCCGGTGCCGAGGGCGGCCCCGGTGCCGAGGGGCGGAGCGCGGCCCTGCGCCGCTGCCGGGGCGGAGCGGCGGCCTCCGCAGCCCTTGCACGGCCCTGGCCGAGGAAACGGGGCACGTCCTTCGTGCTACAGAATAACTGGGATAATTGCAGCAGTTCAGGCCATCACTTGCATTATGAGGCAGGAAGAGGTTAAAAATGCAATAAACATGGCAGTCTTTAAACCCAAGTAATGCTCCAGTACACGTTTCAGACTGTTTTTTTTAATATATATATACATACCTTTACTATCTCTATTTACCTGGACACCTGTGCTGAGCTGCTGACACTACTTGAAAACACCTTCCTTTCTACCTCCTGTTGAGGGCAAAGAGACAAGCTTGCTCTGTTTCGGTATGTGAAAGTGCATGTTTCTTCCACCAAGGAGCAAAACGTGCTTGAATTTCCATTGAAAATTGCAATATTAATGGCCCGGCAGCAGGTGACAGGCACTTGCGTCCAATTTAAAATAAATAGCAGTGATCTCCTGCCTCCCTGACATCCTGAGTTATTGGGGACTTTATCCAAGCAATTACCTCCTACCCTGTCTCTGATCCATAAAATGAGCCGAAACCTTCGGAGACTTGTTTGGAGGGAGAGAAGCTGCTTCTCATCTGCTGACAAGAGAGTTGTTTTGCAGTCAGGACCGTTACTGTGCGCGTTACTACCAGTATGTTTCAGTGATAAGACACCACTGACAGGTTGCACAACATGCAATTGCTGTATTTGACCACGGATGAAGGTGGCTGACATACAGCAGAAGGGCAGTTGCTAACAGCTCGTTTCTTAGATAAATTGTACATCATCACATATAATTTTTTTTTTTTTTTTTTTTTTTGGTATGCTAAAAAACCTGCAGCTGCCTTTGTAGCTGTGGATCCTTACACTAGTAAATAAAATACGTTATACCATGAAAAAAAAATGCTGTGAATTTCTGGGAAATAAAGATTTGTCAAGAAGAATCGTAGCTGAAGTTACGAACATGTTGACAAGTTCTTTGTTGTAGAGAGCGCCTTAGTCTCCAGCAAGAGGGAGGTCTCAGCAAGTCTCCATTGGTGTCTAAAGAGATGGCAGTCACTGCTCTGTTACACTCATCAGCTTTCCCATAAAAGTAATAGTGATAATTACAGTGAATAGTGAAATCTACCTATTATATGTAGATTTCATAGCGTCATTGACTGCTGCTGTGCTGCTGAATTCACTCCTTTCTTTTATTGATCCACACAGACTGATGGCCCTTGAAACAACGCATGCAAATGTACAAGCAAAACGTGGCCAGGTAAAGGAGGTAGGGGAGCTCTACCTGGGATCAGGAGCAGGTTTGTTGCTTATTAGATTTTTATTTCATGCAACTCCACTAGCTTCATATCTGATAAACTATGTAATATTAAAAAAAAAAAAAGTGTTTATATTTGTGCTCAAGGAAAAGTTTAAAACAGAAAAAAAATGGAATAAGGAAGAGTTTTTAAGCAGGTAAAATGGATTACTTCATCATATCCTCTCTTCCTTTTTCAGTTCCTCAGAGTACTGGAAAAGGAGAAGTATAGGTTAAAGCATTCTCAGCGTTGCAGAAAGTTACTTGCTTTCTTGCTTTGTGCTGCTTGCAGAATCTTCAGGTTATCCATTCACCGTAGCTCCATCAGTGTATCCCCAAAGCAGATGAATCCCAGCCCCTGAATTACACAGTGCGAGAAAGGCAAAGCTCAAACAGTTACTAAAGGAGTATTTCCTCAAATCGCTGATGAACGCAAACCTGCACTGGTGAGAATTTTTCAAAATACTTGTTAGCACTAAGTACAAAATAAAAATTGTTTACCTCTGAGTGTCTCTGTGAACAAGAATCAATTTCCACAAGGCTGTTTGCTGCCAATAGAAGGAGTTGACCTGTATCATCTGTATTGTTCTCTCCTCCTTGGGCTCTCTGAACGGGGCTAGTTCTTCACCATCACTTCTTTAGATCAATAAAATTAATATGGGAAGTAACAGAAAGGTGACAAATATAGACATCACTAATAAAGAGAAAAGAGATAAAATGCTGGCCAGCAAACTTCTTCTAGCTAGAAAAATTATGTCAAAATTCTTCAGACGTATTTTTTGTTGTTATATGCTGCTTGCTGGATGCCAGTTCATAAATTTATGCCTCCTTTAGGTCCTGTGATTAGGGAAAGCAGAAAAACAGAGAAGGTGCTGAACTCGTTTTTACCACTACCACTTTTTCCCCCGTCCTCAATGCAAAAGACAAATTATTTCTGTGTAGCAGCTTTGTGCTTCAGTAGCTTTGCATGGCTATGGCAGAAAAAATAAAAAAGCTGACAAATTAGATTCCTTACCTTTGCATGAAAGGAACACTCCGAGCAGAAAGCACAAATCTGAGGCCTGGCTTCCAGAATCAACTTTGACGGGTGGGAAGAGTCCCTTGCAAGGCAGACTGGCCAGAAAAACCCAGGCTCCAAGGGCATCTACTTACTTCAGTCTCAGAGAGCTTGCAGCACCTTTGTCTTGCCAATATACTCCACAGAAAAGGGGGTTCTTGGCCCACAGCCCTTCTTCGCCCTTCTCACAGGAAAAGGGATGGATGATTTTTATTTTTTTTTTTTTTAATCTCAGAAGGCTGCAGAAAATGCTACCCTGCAATAGTGACCTCAGCTTCATACTTATGGTAAACCTTGTAAGCGAACTTCATCTTTTTAAATTAATTATATAAGTAGCTTCAAATTCAAAGCAGCAATATAATGGAGCTTCAAAGAAAGAGGGACACCCTCATACTTACTGGAGTAAGAGTATGATGTTAGTACAATCCACATGTCAGTGTTTCTTTCTGTAGGAAAATTATAATGGTATAAACTAAAAAACTCCAAGATTTATTGCCCTCCAGCACACTGATCAATCAATCCAGCAGGTGAAGAGCTTTATGTGCACAGGCCCGGGAGGACACACAGTCCATTTTTGAACAAATCTTACTACACCTCTATATACTCCACCCTAAGCATAATATAGATATAACTAAGCTACATCAACAGCAGCTAAAAAGCTCTAGCGTTTTGTAATGGCTCGAGGCTTTTCATCAACCACCCACTTCATGTATTCTAAGGCTGATAAGAAACATTTGTACATTTACTTACCAAATGTGGGGGCAGAGTAAGCAACCCTGTAGGAGCTGTGCAAACATGGAAGAGAAACTGGTAACGGAATAAAATATAATACAGACCTGGTTCTGACTATGCAGTGCTTGATAACTCTCCGTTTCTTGTTTGCCCAGTAATTTGATGGCAACATACTGTGCTTTCCCCAAAGGCATCACAGAATCCCATTCAGCTCTCTAACAAGCTCAGCTACAACCAGTGATAAAATGTGGATATAATCAAAATGAGCATTTATGGACAGGGTCTTTTGGCTTCCAAAATGCAAGAGACATCTTTCTTTTTGCTATCTGGCAGAAGAAGATCCCAGTATTTTCACCCAGATGCCCTCAAAAAACGGTCAGGCCAAGGAGCTTGAAGGGAAGTGAGAAAAGGAAGTGGGGCCCTATCATTGGGCCTCTCAAACACATGGGAAGCAGCTGCCAGGAGAAGAAAAAACAGATCAAAATATCATATTTGAATTTAGCCACTGATCCCAGTCTACAGCTGGATGTAGTTATAACTGTTTGATCCAAATTGAGGCCTGCAGAATAAACAAGACTACTATGCAGTCTCCCTCAGAGTAGGTTGGACTCCCATTCCCTGCTAACACCAGTAAAGCAGCACTAGTTTGAGCAGCTCATTGCACCTCCCTGCTAAAAGGACATTAGCAGTGACACTTTATAAAGACCTGCCCAGAAAATGAGTTTTCTTTCACAAGGTAAGACTACCCTGCTCTAGGGAGAATGTTTTGTAGTCTGAGAGGTTTCCATAGTGGAATCTTAAAGGAAAGGCATTTCAAGAGCATCTACATACATACATAAAATTTTCCATTCATACTATATTATCATACATTATAAATTTTACATATATGTAATTTGTGCTTGATTTGATTTGCACAGCTACTAGGAATTTACCGATGTCTTATTACACTCCTTCCTCCAACCTATGCTGTCACTTCTGCTCTCTACCCCAAAAGGAAAAACAAATAAAGAAAAAAAAAAAGCTTTACAAACTTTCACTAAACATTTTTCATATCCCCATACTAACATTTGAATTTCTCCACTGCTGGCATCTACCTTTTCTTTCAAAGGTGGTAGGATATATAAGTGTGTGTATGCAAATACATACATTTTATATATATATATGTATATATACACATATCAAAAAAAAAAAAAGACACAAACTTTGAAGAACTGCCATCATCCTGTTTAGCTTAGAAATATGCTGTTTCTACACCAGACTCCAAGGGCGTGCATGCCCAAATCTTGCCCATTCTCTGCCAGTTTGTCTCTGTTACAAGGCAATTCCCCTAGACAGCGGGAATACTCCAGTTGATGCAATAAAGAGAATGAAGCAACCTCTTGTGGGCAAAATGAGTCTCTGATGAAGGTTTTTAAAAGCACCAGTCAATTATTAGCCAGTCTACCAAAGCACTAACACTATTTACAGAGTAACCTTTGGCTGATGGACCTGTCCCCACTGATAGTCCAGTCTGCAGACACCTCTCCCACCAACCAATCTCCTGAGCTCTGGGGATGGAGTCACGTGCAGTTTGCCCAGTTGCAAGAGCTCTGCAAACTAGCTCTGCATCTTCCTCAGAAGTTGCATAGCTGGTGAACCATGGAGCTTCTTGTAAATGTAAGGAAATGGATAGAAGAAAACAAAGATGCCTTTTTGCCACCTGTGTGCAATAAACTTATGTAAGTAAATGATTTTTTTAACCCAGTTCTTAGATATTCTTTGCTAAAAATGCATGCATAGGAAAGCCTAGAAAGGAAGTGTAAATTCCTCTCTAATTGCAGTCAGAGTACCATTATAAAAGACAAAAAATGCCTGAAATCTGTTTTTTAATAAATCTGTAGAAGCTGTTAAGAATCAGCTTGAATATGAAATGTTTGCCCTGACTGAAAGCCTCTTGTAGGCAGCAGGACTGACTTCAAGGGACTTTGTTGCAGGCCCTGTGACAATAAAACCATACTGATCAGTGCAGAGAGCATCCCATCCACAAATAATTAAAATTTAGCTAATAAACTCATGATGCCACCCAAAACAGGTGCCCAAGTTGCTGAGAGTCATTCCGGCATTACAGAGGATCCGAATATGCACAAGCAATAAAAAGTGGCAGGACATACTCTTAAAAAAAGGAAGAGAAGGAGTGCAAGATGAGCACGTTTTCAGGGCACTTCCAGATCTGTCAAGGCAGGGTAGCACCCTCTGTTCAGGGAGAGGTTGGTGAGGCAACGCTTGAGATCACCTAAGAGAGATAAACTCCATCCTGAATAAGAGCTAACATGAGAAAAAAATCGACGGCATTATTCAAATTTATAAAATGCATCTTTTCAGTGTCAAGTCCAATGAAATCCTGACTTACAGGATAAATTGTCCAGTGTACGGTTCCTTCTAGGAACTGTACAAACAAGCATTTGTCAGTGAAGTAGAGGACAACATATTTCATCCAAAACTATATACTAATGTTTTCATATCAAAGGATTCTCACTAGAAAGAATGACAACTGGGTTCCATTCACTGATGTCAGGTTAAAAACACAAGGCAATAAAAACTGCTACAGAGAAAGTGTCCATGTGCCTGTTGCCCTTTCCTAAGTTCCATTTTTAATCAAAATTTACATAGGCACCTCTTCTACTATAGAAGTGACAGTAATTTCCATTCATAGATGTGGGTTTTTTTCAATACAATGGTTGCAAGACAAAAATAAGGTCAAAGACACACCCCTATAGAGTTGCTTACGTTGAATCTACAGCTATATATTCCATCTGAGAAAGCATGAGACTTGCATCATGTCCAATCATTTCACACTGTAGAGAATGATGAGCACTTCCCTTTGCAAGTACTTTCATTTCTTCCATTTTCAGAATTGATTTTGCAAGCATTTGGTAAATTACAGTCGTTTCAAAATCTTACCAAAGCCAGTTGTGAACACTTTGAGCATTTTACAGTATTTAAAAGAGTCTTTTTTTTTTTTTAATCAATAAGAGAAACCTTTTTTATTATTATTACTGCACTGCTCTGCCCCTTCTACCAGCACTTCTGTGCAGTCCTGAAGTAAAATCTCTCTGGAATATGAGACCTATCAGAGGTCAGAAGGTCACTGAAATCCCCAAACAGTCAGTATTGACAAGTCTTCCCGACAGACATTGCTACAAGGTACACAGAAATGAGAAACATTTTTTAATGATAAAAACTGCATAGATTTCAAAAAGAATCAATGTCTTCAATATAGCTTTTTCCTGTGAAGAAGAGGAAAATCATTTATTATATGGATTCTGAGTCTCTCACCACCTGCTACTGGTGGTAACTAAGCGTTTCCAGGATTTTTAAAAGGTTTCCTTCAATTTACTAAGAAGAGACTAATAGATTTCTAACTTTTTTTTTTCCCAAAGTCTTTGATCCTTTACATACTGAGAACAGATGTATAAAGCGATCATTGCACTGCCTTCTACATAACAAGAAGGCAACCACTTCAAAACATCCAAGTAACTTACGACCCTAAGTTTCAAAAGAGATTGAACCATCTAGATATCGCAGCAAATCAATAGGATTTTTGGTCTGAATTTGTTAGGGCTTTCAAACTTTCATTCTGTTATCCTTTATACTGTTGAGAGCATTAAAAATTTTAAAAACATTTTGGGCATTGCGTAATAAAATTGCAATTTCTGATCATCATCTGCTTTGAATTTTACCAAAGTCAAGAAAAGAATACAATGTAAGAGTTGCAATTTAATTGTATTTTAATTATGTTATCTTGCAATTTTAAAAACTTATTAGGAGTGCAGTGAATGTAAAATCAGACACCTTGCCATGGCAGATCTTTACAGTGCAGCAATGGCACTTGTAAAGCTCTTAGCATTCCAGAATATGATACCTGTGGTCATGAGATACAAAGTTCTTCATGGTCTTGAGAGGTTTTAAAAAGGTTATCTGCTGATAACATTTTCTTTCCATGATCAGGACAAAAAATAGAAGAGTTATACAAGAGTTGAAAAATAATTCAGTGATTAGTACTTCAATCTAAAAATAAAATAATGCAATCAAGCAATTTCCACCCCCCAAAAGCCTTTAGGATACTCGCCAAACTGAGTACTATTTAGCAAAGTATTCAGCATACACCTCTAAAATCACAAGGAAAAAAGTAATTTCAGTTTTCTTCCTAACATTGACTAGACAACTTTGTTTAAGAGTATGAGTAAACAAATATTCTCTTATTCTCATATTCTTGCTTGTATTTGATAGTTGGATTTTTTTTATGGTCTCATTACGTAATTTGTAATGTTAGGAATAATTAACCCATGGTTGTCTGTTATTATATAAAACTAAGCTAAATCTATAGGTAGCAATTAATGGTACTTCTGCCCAATTTTTTGGAAAAAAAAATAAGGGCAATATTTTATTTTTCAATTATTGAACTAATAAAATTAATCATTTTAATTAACTGCACAGATTTCTATTATATTAATTCCTCTTAAAAGCAGGTTGCAAAATACCCATAGATTATCTTTCTTCTACTACAGCTTTCATTTTGGTTTATATTATGAATTGTTCACTGTGCTGTGACAACTCTGACCTTCCTGCTTCATTTTAATAGAAAGGTTCCTTAATGTAGAAGCATTTCATTGTATCTTTGAAAATGAAATATTGAATCTTCATAGTACAAACAGCTGTGATTTCAGTTCCTTGCTTTAGAACGTTGGCATGAAGTGCCATAATTTTTACAGTTTTCTAGAATGAAAATGGTCAAACTAAATATTGTAATCTAATTTAATTCTTCAGGCTTTAATTTGACCTAGGAAACGTTTGTCACTGTTATTCATTACTTTTTCTTCACTAATCACTACTCAGTACCATTTAAATCAGTACCATTTAAATGCTCTTAAATGCAAACGTCATTGGGGTAGCAGAGCAAATATCCTGCAGTTCAGCATAGTTTGGTGTCTCAGTGAAGACCTACCAGGTTGGCAGGCTAGTCTTCCCTTTCTCTATGGCTTTCTATGGTCATCCCCTGTGCTGGAGGGGAGTGCAGCTCCACTGCTTCTGTACCACCATTATATTGCCCAAAAGCTCCTCACTGAGAAAAGGAGTCAACATCTGTCCCATTGAAGTAAGGTGGAGCAGATTTTTGGATCAAGAGTTAACACATCTGTCTTGTAGGGCTTTTACTATATACTGAAAAAGAAAAACTGCAACCTTCTCTATCAGAGTGCATGTCCTTGTATCTACCAGTAATCAAGGTGACATCCAGGCTTTGTGACAGCCAAGGGCTGTCATGCCAGCCATGGCATCTCTAAAGGGTTACCAGATTGAGAGAAAGGCCCTGAATTTCTTTTTCTCAATCAGTTACAACCACAAAGAAAACAGTGTAATGTTGTTTCACCTTAGCCAAACCAATACAAATGGAAGAGAAAATAGCTGAGAATTCCTACCATCAATATTGCTAGTAGTTCTATCAACAGAAAAGAACATATACATATATATATAACTTTACCTTTCTTAGCTCAGGAAGTGCTTTACCTCTACAAAATCCTTATCTGATCAGATAACATTGAAAAGGCATCTTTCCTGGTTCTCATTAGTCATTGAGGTCCCAAGTGCTTTCCACAATTGGTTAGTATCTTTGTCCCCTTCTGGGCCTGCTGAAACAGCAGCAAGGGGGTAAATGGTCTCAGGCAACCTGAAAAACACACCTAGGTCTTTTGAGTTCTCATTCAGGAGGTTGCTTGTCACTCATCCTTGTTTCACTGACTTACTGTCCTCAAGCTTTAATGAAAATTAAAATAATAATAATAATAATAATTTAAAAAGAACACTATGAGTGGAAGTATCTTTAAAATGTCATTTTTCTTTTCTAGGCATCGCTATCAATTGAATGTGATGTTTGTTGGGGGGCCGAATGAAAGGAAAGATTATCATATTGAGGAGGGAGAAGAGGTAACCTATAGACCATTCATATTTTGTTGTTTTAATTGATCTGTATGATTGAAGTGTAGGCACTTCTGATGCTACAGCAACAGATTAGCAATCAGTCGCTGAGTAGAGTGTTGTATTTATTAGAACTATTTAAATACTTAAACAGACCCATGCACCATCTGTGCTTTTCCTTTGAAATAAACACTTGATGATATCAGATTTATTTTGCTATATTTCATTTTCAACAGGAAACTAGAGAAAATGATCTGACAGCATCAAAATGTCTCATCTCAACTTCTTGTAATAACACCTTGGAAAGGAAAGGATGCTTTTAAAATCATATTTTGTTATAGAAGATCTGTATTTTGAACATGTAATTGTGAAATTCAAAAATGAAAATTAAGTATTGTGATGTTGCATTGTTCTAGATTTTTGTTCATGAAAAAATATCAGCATTTTCAGTCCTAATGAATCTCAACTTTGGTACAATGGTACCAAAGTTTGGTACCATGGTACAATAACACTTGCCACAATAAGTTTATTTTTCAAACTTGAATTTCTGAAGAGCATATCTGTATGTATTAATGTTCAGCTCACTCTTTTGTCAGACCAAAAGTCATTTTTACACAGTAATTTCAAGCCCCAAATATAGGAATCCTGTCAACAAGTCAGATCACAAAGACCCACAATCCTTTTGCAAATTTAGTTGCTGGGATCCTACTGCTATTGTTCTGACAAAGAGTTGGTTCAGAAAAGAACATTAATTTTAGGGTTGCTTATATCTATCTGTTCGATCTGTTTGGGCAAGTGCAGGGTCCTGCACTTGGGGAGGAATAACCCTGGACACCAGTACAGATTAGGGGTGGACCTGCTGGAGAGCAGCCCCACAGAGAGGGACCTGCGTGTCATGGTGGACGACAAGTTGACCATGAGACAGCAGTGTGCCCTGGTGGCCAAGAAGGCCAACGGGATCCTGGGGTGCATTAAGAAGAGCGTCTCCAGCAGGTCGAGGGAAGTGATCATCCCCCTCTACTCAGCCCTGGTGAGGCCACATCTGGAGTACTGCGTCCAGTTCTGGGCTCCCCAGTACAAGAGGGATGTGGAGCTGCTGGAGTCCAGCGCAGGGCTACCAGGATGATCAGAGGCCTGGAACATCTGCCCTGTGAGCAAAGGCTGAGAGAGCTGGGCCTGTTCAGCCTGGAGAAGAGGAGGCTGAGGGGGGACCTGATCAGCGTGTATAAATACCTCAAGGGAGAGAGTGAGGAGGAGGGGGGCGGCCTCTTTTCAGTGGTGGGCAGGGATAGGACTAGAGGAAATGGCTTCAAACTGAAGCATCGGAAGTTCCACAGGAACTTAAGGAAGCATTTCTTCACTGTGAGGGTGACAAAGCACTGGCACAGGCTGCCCAGAGAGGTGGTGGAGTCTCCTTCTTTGGAGATCTTTAAAACCCGCTTGGACGCAGCCCTGTGCCACGTGCTCTAGGTGACCCTGCGTGTGCAGGGCGGGGTTGGACTCGATGACCTCTGAGGTCCCTTCCAACCTTGAGCATTCTATGATTCTATGAACCACTTTTTTCAAGCCTGTGAGCACACACACAGTTTATCACGTCTCCTATAGCACAAGTAACCTGGTGTTTTTCAGTTTGCAGTTCAGTTGTAGAGCCAAGGACTTAGGAAGGTCCCAAACTTCCACAGCTGATCCAGGTTCTCTATCATGATCTTTGACTGTTTCTCTCATAAATACACCACAAGTGGGAGTTAGCTCCACTTTCTGACAAATCACCAGCTTGGATGAAGACTGACTCCTTCCTCTAGCTTATGCTACTCTCTATTCAGCGTGGATGGAGAACCTTGACCATAGTGAATTTATTCTCCTTTCATATTGTATGGAAGTAGGGGAAGGAGTGGACAGGATGAGTGTTCCAGTAGGTGGTATTGTAGTGCCAATTTTGCAGCTAAAAACTTGAAACATTCAGCAAAGCAAGAGAAAATTTTGCTCCTTTACATTTTTAAAAACACACACACACATACACACACCCCAAAAAAAAAGAAATCTGTTAAAACTCTTTAAACATTCTTAATCAAAACAAAGGCTGTATTACAGAGCTGTAAGAGCGGTGATCCCTTCATCTCAGAGTGAGCTTGCACCTTCAGAAATAAGTTTGTGGCATAGAATTGTTGGGGTGAGTCTTGGCTATTCAACAGCTTTCACAGGTGATTCATGTAAATGAGCAGAAAAAAGCTTCCCCCACACCACACACACACACGGTTTTCTCTGCTTTACTTCCTCCCAGACTTGCCGTCGAGACTCCTGATGGCTAAGAAACCTTTTGATGGGAACGGGGGAGATTTGTTTTTCTGTGCTCGTAAGATCAGTTACTGCTGAAGTCTGGAGAGCACCCAGCCTACTCCCACGCCCGAATGTGATTTGCTCTGCAAATTAATTTAGTGCTTAACAACCTGACAGGCAATACAAGCCAATGACAAGCAACATGCCAAGTCAGAGCCAAATCCCACAAGGGGCTGAGCAATCCCAAATTCCACTTTTAGAAGCACCACTCCAAGTACACTGCAAATTGCAGATAACTTTAGGGGTCCTTGCAAGCGCACAGCCAGGGGGGCGCTCAGCCACTGCATCAAGGCAGCGTTTGATGTCAAAGGTGTATCTAAATTAACAAGCTCTACACTACAGTGCTGCGCAGAAAATAGACTTATATTTTAATTGGAATAAGCAATCCAGTTAGAGTGGCTGAGCTGCGCTCCTTCCATGCTTCCTTACTCCATTAGGATCCACGTATCTATATAAAAGACCCAATTTAGCTCACACAACCTTAACATGACAGGGATGATACTGCTCTTTTTAGAGCAGTATTTGTACTTTTTACCCCAGTGAAATGATCTGAGCAAGATAAGCAACCTCAGCTACTCTTCCACTAAAGAGAACAGTGAACTCCCACCTCTCTACATCACCGCTGTTTTCTTCTGGAAGGACCAGTCAAAGCGTAACTGGGTGAAATTCCCCTCTACAGACTTCAGCACTGGCCATACTGCCTTTCAGTGTCTGGTTTAAAGCCTGATGCATACGGGTGAAGTAGACCCAGGGAGGGGAATGCAATTCTACAATAAAGCGTATTTAAGGAGGGAGGAACTGGGACAAAAAAGAATAAACTGTCTCAGTCTTGAGAGGCTGGCAGTTGGTTTTCAGAGGGATGTTTGCAGCTTTTAATGGAGGTATTCAGCATGCAGCAATTTTGAAAATTTTATGTTTCGTATAAAGAATTCTGTGTGGCTTAGAGCCTCTAGAAGTCAGATGAGAATTAATAAGAAGAGGAAGTTTTAGTGTAATGGCAATAACAGGAAGGTGCCACATAATAAATAAGAAAGAGCTAGAAGACAGACAAGAGTCTGGGAGAAAAAAAGGAAGAAAAAAAAGAAAGTGTAATAAAGGCCAAGAAAATACTTATCAATAAGCATATTTCGTAATAAAAGGGCTTAAAATACTTCTGATCAAATAATTTCTTTCTTCAGCCACATACTTCATCCAGAAAGAGAAATCCTGCCTGATTCTGACTGTTAGGCAGTAGTACAAATTGTAGGCTTTTTCTGCAAGGCTACATCTATTACATGCAGCAAGAAGCATTATACCATTAAGAAAATACTAACAGAGTGAAAATATTATACAGATTTCCTCAACTTCTAGTCCTACCAGGAAGAACAGATACTAAATCCATTACCCCTATAAAAACAGACCAACTAGGAAAGCTCATTTTCAGGTAGCATGAAATCAGCTCCCACTGCCTTACTTGCTATATACTCGTGCACAAAAACACATATAGATATATAGGTCTACACACACACACACCAGTGCTTCTTTACTCAGATCTGTTTTTGCACGGGGTTACTTAGGGAACAAGTCAGATTTGCTCAGGTGCAAAGCTCAGCCAGAATTTAGAAAATAACACCATTCACATAGGAGACAATTGAGTGCTGCATTACAGGGTTGTCCTAGGAAGCAGGCACAGGCTGTCACTCACTGAAGCATTAAACAGTTGATAGTTTTCTTAGTAAAATTTCAGTGTATAATATAAGCACAGCAGTGGATTGCATAATTAGCGCCATTTGTATACATAACTGACATCACATAATTTATGGATGACTGAAACACTCAGATATTTTCCAAAAAAAAAAAATTAAAAAGCTTGGAAGAATACACTGTAATTTACAGCGAAAGGTAGTATTTACATTCAGACAGAAAACACGTGTTGGCAATTTGCAGCCCACCTCATTCCTCCTTTCCAACTACAAAACAATTCTTTTAATTCAGTATTCAGCGTTGTGTTAAGAATCTTTCCTTGAGACGGGGATGTTTTGCTCCTGAGATGAACGGCCCTCCCCCTCCAGACTTTTATTACCGGAGAGATGCTTATCTGTGGGATTCCTGGTCACAAGCAGCATAAAAATCTCCCTGTGTTGTTAGAGCCTCATCCTTTCCCCCATCAACACGCCTGTGCAAGTGCTCAGTAATTGCACTCCCAGTCATTACAGTAGTTATGGGGTGTATATACCGCTGCAAAACCCCGTACTTCAGAACGGATCTTTCATTTTCTGCACTGCCAGTGCCTTATTACCAGTAGCCTGTGTGATAATCAGATGTGCCAGGATCTTATGTTCTTAGGCAAGATGACTCTTCTCGAAAGGAAAGAGAGAGCAATTCTCCACTTAAATCACTTCTGCTGTCCAGCGAGCAGGCAGCCTTGCCCAAGATACTCTGTAATGAGGGCCACTATAGCAGTTTATAGTCATTCATTCACTAGCACCAAAGAAAATAACAGGAAAAGAACACAGGAAAATGAAGTGCAAGGAGAATAAATAGCCTGACACGGTGGCCATCTGGACAAGAGTTATATTTATCCCTGGTGATGCCCCTGACACAAGATGAACCTCTTTGCTCATGTGAGGGCTCTCAGCATGAGCTCTTTCCCAGTTCATCATCTTCAGCTCTCTCAGCTGTTCCTTCCTTGGGCAACATATTTATTCTTGTGTTCATAAAGGTGTTCCACGAGTTCTCCGGTATTGATCTATAAATCAATATTTCCAAGTTGCTTTGCAAATAACTCTGATTTCAAAAATGATTCACCTTTCTTAATGTTGGAAAAAAAGTGTAATTCAGGATTTGTATAAACTTGATTTGGTGCTGTTTTCCTTCACTTCCTTATATTTGCTTCATTTCCAGTTTTCTAAAATTGTAGTGGGTGACTATAATTAAAATAATTTTCCTTACAGTTCTAGTTATGAATTGATTCTTGGGCAATTTTGGCTGCATTAGCACTTACACGAATTAACCTTTTTGAATTCTAGACAGGACACAGAAAGCATCCAAAAGCTTGGCAGAGAGTGGCAGAATAGGAAAAGTAAATTCGACTTTTTAAAGTAGTATTGCTCTGTTTTATATTGAATGAGAAGAAAAGGACCTGTTTACAAGTAAATAGGTCCAAAAAGGACCTGTTTACAAGTAATAGCACCATTCTGCCTTGAAATGAAAAGGTCCTCCTGAGGGTGTCTGGGATCATATACACAGGGAATAACAGGACTGCAAAAAGGTTACTGAAGAAAGAATTAGGGGTTCAGTGGTTCTGTCCTTATGTAAGCTTAAACCATAATCCTGTTACATACGCAGTAAGAAGAGGAGCAGCTGGTGCAGGCTTCAGAAGTATCCACAAAAATAAAGCAGACCAGCTTCTAAACGGACAGCAATTCCCAAATGGGAAAGAAGTATTAAAAAGGAAAACACACACCCAAAAAAACCTGGGCATATCAGGAGCATAGCTAGAATACTGACATTTAATTTCACTGAATGTAACAGTGAAGATCCTGCTACAACCAAACTGAAAAAAGACAAATGAAATTTCAAGGGCAGTATATGAATGTCTTAGCCAGAATGTCCCAGCCCTACAGCGAAATCTCCTGGAATAAAGACAGTGGAATGGGTTTGCACTGGTTCACAGAGAGCTCTTCAAGCAGTTGGGGACCACCAGGATAGATTTCCTAATGTATGGAAATAATGGAGGCAATACATAATTAGTAATATTTTCAAAAGCAGCTGAGGTTGTTAGAAAAAAAGCCAGTGTAAATACTAAGAGTCATAGAGTAAATGCCTGTGAGATTTTCATAAGCTGAATATGAATTGGAAATATACGCTACATGGACAGTTTGGGAGCAGTTGCTTTAATGTCAACTTTTCTTGTTCCCTCAGTTATTTTACCAAGTGAAAGGAGATATGTGTTTGAAGATAATTGAAAATGGGAACCACAGAGACATTGTCATCCGAGAAGGGGAGGTAAAACAGGGTATTTTTTTGCTCTTGCTCTTGCTGTTGTCATAGGTATGTTAAAGGAGTGTTCCCTGAATTAATTCAAGATCAGTTTCATTACAGCTGTGAGAGAAATGGTATCAGGATAAAAAAAGAATGGAGTCTTGAATTCAGTATAGCAAATTCCACGTCACTAAGAGCAAACTACAATTCAATATTTCAGTGAATAAGCATCCCAACTTCTGAAGCCACCTTATAAAAAACGATACTCAGTAAATACATGGTAAATACTTACTACCACCACCACTCCATTAGATAAGCTGCTTAGAACTTAGAAATTTAAAGATTTTGTTAGCGATGTGGCTAAGTTATGTAGCTGTGAGGACCTTGTTTAGTCCTCACAGCTAGCCTTCACAACACAATCGTTTAAAACAACAATTTATGTAAAAAAAAATGTATCCTGCTGTATTCAGTCTAGTGTTTAACCATTTTTTCTATATTGGAAGACTTCCTAAAGCATATATTTCAGTGCTGCTAACAAAAGTCTTGCTAGACATTTCATTTGAGTGCAAGTAGTTACTACAAGATATTAGATATGCTACTGCCACCACTCATTATTACTGTCACTAGCTTGAACTGCCTTCAGCCTCTGAAGGGATTAAGTACTAGCCGTAATGAGGCTAGCTTTTAAAAGGACGCACATGCACTAGACTGAATAGCTTGGTGTCACTAAAAGAAGTATATGACCTTTTCAACGAAGAAAAAAACGAATCTAACATTTCAAATCAGCAAACGCTGAAATTCTGCTAATACCCTTCACGCTTCCAAAGTGCATCCATCTGAGATCTTGGCACGTACCACAAATATTAATGAAAGGGAACGCACAGTGTCCTTAGTGGGAAGACTGGCAGTAGCCGCAGTGAGGCGTTAGCCAGGGCTTGCTGCGTTGGAGGGATATGCATGGGCAACTGGTTTAGAAATCTTAAGCTGGCAACAAACTTTCTGTTAATTTCTCCTACTCAGAAATTCCAGTACATTTCTAGATTCCATGTAGAATAACTGGCTGGATTTTACTCATGTCTAGCAAAGACCATGAAACTCTGAGGATTGCCCTTGCTGCTTCAGAATCACAGCCAATAGCTAAACCCATGACTTGTATTTGTGGAGCAGCGGCCCGAGAGCTACGAACAGCATCTAGTACCAACAGGGGCACAGTTAGGCAGGAGCAACAAACACAGAATTAATGAGGAGGAGGGAAAACATGGGTGGTTCTGCAGAGGATTTGGCAGGGAAGAAGGGCAGAGGAACAACCCAACGATCAGTGACCAACTAACACAAGTTCCTTCTTGTTTCTTTTCTGTCTGGACAGATGTTTCTCCTTCCCGCTAGGATCCCTCATTCCCCTCAGCGATATGCAAACACCGTGGGTCTTGTCATCGAGAGGGAAAGATTGAAGACAGAAATTGATGGGCTCAGGTGAGGTAAAAAGTGTTGGCTAATCCATCAGGATTCATAATTTCTCTACAATACTAAGTTTTATTTTCCTGATCATTAATCAGATTTGTGCCACCAATTCTGCAGTAATTTTGTCTGCACACGTAACTTAGCTGTATGCACATAAACAGCTCCTTTAGCATTTGGTTTAGTCACACAAAGAACATGCTGATATGTACACTGGGATCACAGCTATGTGCCTATGTGCTGCCTACTACTACCACCTTAAAATTTTAAATCCTGGAGTTGGGCAACAACACAGTTCAAAAATACTGTCTGTATCAGTTCTGGCAAGCAGAACATTGATTTCTATGTAAGTACTAAAAACAAAAAGATGAAGAAGAGCTTCCTTGACAAGTACATAGAACACTAAAAACAAAACTCAATTTTCTTAACACTAACCCCTCTACACTGTATGCACTTCCACCTAGATTTATTGCCTTCTGAAAATGATGTCTTCAAATAAATATTTTAGTGGGAGCAGAGCTGAGCCTTATTCTGTAGTCTTACAGTATTTTTAAACCTAAGAAGGCAGGTCACAGCAATGACAACTGAGTTAGTTAGAAAAGCTCTGTGGGTATTACCTGGATAGGGCTGACCAGAGTGAGTTTACAGATATTCCTGTCACCTATAAAGGCTCAAAGTCACAATTATATCTCTAGTATAGCATTTTTTTTGGATACAGTTTTTATCTTTTCATGGGACGTGTCACAGCAGTCAGACCATGAATATGCAGAGCTAGAAAAATGTTTTTATATTCAAAGAGTCTAAAAAAAGAAACAAGAAACTGAGAAAGGGACCATTCAGAAAGTCACTCCCAGCCAGCTGCATCAAAGCCCATTTCATTATTCTGTTATTTATCATACCTACCTATATCAGTCCCCAAAATGCCAATTATGGCACAAGTGAAAACTAAAGAGCCTGTTTCAAAGATTTTCAGTAATTCCATACTTCATGTAAAAACATACACACCTTATAAAAAATGCACTAAATGATACTAGCTCAAAACTGTTTAGATTTTACTTTTGTGATTGGATTCTTTACTGCCTAGTTAGCTACAAAGCCCTCCTAAAGCCTTTCCTAAAGCCCTTCCCCATCTGAGACATTTATAACATTCATCTTCTCTGTAGATTCTCTGGGGCTCAAAATTTGTGCTCACATTCCATATTGGAAGCAGTCGCTCTTTTACCCAACTAGCCCATTTTTGTGAACTTCAGAAACTGGGGAGATCATAAAAAGTTTCTAGACAATATTGATAAGGACACACAAGAATACGTTATGAAAATGAATATGAATACATATATAAACACACACACATTCACAGTATAATCATAAGCCTTATTTTTCTGCTTGAAATATAAATTCCAGTCACTTAGACCCAAGGGAGACATAGGACTTACTTGCAATCACTTGCAATGTGACTGATGTTCCTCGCCTGTTGCTGAAGTTGTATTTTCTTGATCTCTAGGTAAATTTCACTTTACCATTCCATAAATTACAGCAAGCTTGATCTGTTGATCTCAACACTATTTATTTATTATGAAATAAAAAGTGAAGCAATAGGTTCCCCTGCAGAGAAGCAAGCTAAATGACACTTCACAAAGAACCTTCCAACCTTTCACAAGGAAGCCGCAGTTTGACTGCGACTGTGAATGGGCAAGAAGCAAGTGACAAGTGAGAGCTGGCAGTGCCACAGCATCATGGCCCAACTCACTTTCCAAGACTGAATCCTGAAAGTTTGTTGGAGGGATTTGGTGATTTACCCATGGTTGCTCAGCAGAATTAACAGGGCCTATATAGACATTTAAGCACTCCACTCACATGTCAGCTATGAGAAGAAAAAACAGCCTCCTTAAAAACAAATGTAGATAAAGTAGCATGTTATTTCCACATTTGCATACATCAAGTAGCTATTTTCTTCAAACTCTCCCATCAGTTAGTTAATAAAAAGAACAACTAATGTTTTTATTTCTTAGATACTATGTTGGAGAATCAACTGATGTCCTCTTTGAAAAATGGTTTCACTGTGAAGATCTTGGCACTCAACTTGCACCGATAATTCGAGAGTAAGCTTTTTTCTTCATAAACTCCAAAAGAATGATTAAAATTATCTAATAGGTCTCTCTAAATCTGTAACTACTTAATTTTCTATTTTGCTATATTTTACATACACTTGTTAATTAGTATTCTACAAACTGTTAATCATATCTTGTATACCTCAAATTCATTAGATCAGTTTAAAAAAAAATAAAAAATAAAAATCAAGTGTTCTCTGCATCTATTTGGAACACATCTTATGAACAAGTAGGAGTATGTTGCAGCTAAACATAACAATAATTACAGGAAAATTTAACACTAATTTGTTTCCAAGTTAACTAGGTAGAGCACTAAACTGCATTAGAGCTTCTCTGGATTTCATTGCATTCTTCTTTCTTGACTCTTATTGCTTACTTAACTATTTTTAAACCATATTATTCATGCATAATCATGGTCAAGGCAAATTTGCTAGATACTGTGAAAAACAGCTGCTTTGCAGGAAATGTCATCAATTATCTGGCTGGTTTATTGTTTTAAGTGGTTGCTAAAGGTGAAGAAGGGCTTATACAAGCAGTATAACACCAGAATAGAAAATCATATAGGGACATGAATTTTGATTTTTGTGACTTTTAACCTCTGTCTGCAGGTGAGATCTGGCCTGCATACATTTTCAGCATAAATCTTAATGGTGAGCACTGATGCTTAATCTCTAATTTACAGAACATGAACATGACTTTTAAGCCATGCTTAATGTTTATTATTTCAGGTTTTTCAATTCAAGACAGTATCAAACTGGAAAACCAAATCCAGGTAATGTAAATTAATTTCACAGTTGGAACAATGATTATCTGTCTGATTGGACAGTAATGATTCTGTTCACATAAAATGGCTTGAAGTTCCTTTTTTTTCCCCCTCTCCGATTATGTAAGTGAAAATTACTTTAGAAAGTAATTTCTTTCATTTCCCCATCCAAAACCAAATTCTATACACATAATTACCAAAAGCATCTGACTGTTCAAATGAAGACATCATAACAAGCTATCAGGTAACTGTACAGTATGAAATCTCAGTATCTCTATGCTTATCCTATGCCATTCAAGTCTTGTACAAATAAATTTCAATTCCTGACTATGCATAATGAGATTTTAGTTGAGATGACTCTATATATTAGATATTTACTTGTACTCATTAACCTGTAACTGTACACAGTGATCTGCTCTTCAAAAGAAAGGATACTTGTGCAACAACACATGCCAGTAGTTCACGTGTGCCCTGATCCATCTAATATTTAATTTCTATGCTCCTTCACTATTTTTATTTTGTCCTATTTGTGGATAGTGATTGCAAATTCCATACTGGAGTAGATATTCAGATTATAGCTCTACACTTGAGTTCGTTGCTCAGGTATAGAAGACATGGGCAAAAGTGACTATTATAAAGACAGCTAATTTATTGGAATCTTTGCATAGGGGAATGCTCATGTGGGGAATGAAATCTCACAAAGCGGATGATTGCTCTCTGGATGGCAATGGAAGTAACTGTTGCAAGGGTCATTGCAATGGAGCGTTTCATGACACTGGGCGAGACTCTCCCAAACTGTTGTTCTCCTGAAATCCTATATTCCTGTTGGCCTGTAATCCTGTGTGAACTTTCATCATATGCATGATCCACTGCTATTGAATAACGTTAATTACATAGAAAATATCTCCCAAAGGCTTAACTATGTACAAAAGACTGCCACCACAGGAATGGTTGGTGCTGAGTATTTATGTGTGTCCTATTAGGGTACAATTAAGTCAGTTCCACTGCAGGAACCACCTGTACAGTCTGAGAGCCAGATCCTTAATCAATGCATGGGAATGTACAAATTGAGCAGGAGCTACCTGCTGGATCTCTGAGGTTCCCACCTGGAGAGCTCCTGCACCACTTAGTCAAACACTTTGTTGGGAAGGCCACAAGTCCAGCCCTCGCCAGGTCTCTTGTTTCATATCACTCTGTTCTCAGTGACTAACAGGGCAGTTCACATGGGAGAACCCCCAGAAAATGAGAGGCTTGGGTGCACACACAACACAGCGCCGATACTCAGCTACACTACAATTATAACTATAGCACAACATTTGAATTTCATTTTCAATCCCACTATTAATTTAAATTTCATAGCTCTATGCCACAAGCTAAATAAATATTTTTGTTCCCTGAGTTCTTGAGATCAGTTATCCTCAACCTTCATATTAATTTCAGAATTTCTATTTATGACCATTTTGATGACAAAAGGCCTAATGAAACATTACTACAACATTTATCCCACTGATGATCACCATGAAAACTTCACAGTCTACACAGTTATCCAGTCTCTATCACTATTGGAACAAAGCTGGTATCCAAATCACAGCAAGCTTTCCTGTGTGAATAGCATCCTTTAAACTAGACTAAAAAATCCTCATCAAAGTGAAGTAAGTGTTTACAAAAGAGTCCTGTGCAGATAGCACCAACTTTGGGCATCTTGTCTTTGCCTAACTAGCAAATTAACTTACCAGTTAATTACCAGCTCAGTTTCTCAGGAAGAAAAGCCTTTTCCTTACTAAGATCTTACTCTTTTATCTTACTCTTTTTTTACATTCACTATCACAAACGTTTATTCTGGTCTAAGCTTTTGAGGCCTTCTGTGAGATTAAAGCTACCATCTCACCCGCCTGAGATAACCATGACTCTGGGTGAAGCACCAGATTAGCACCCGATCTAGGTGACCTGGGAGAGATGCTTTGCTATCCCAAGAGCAAAGGAAAAATAAATGTTTTCATCTGCTTTTAACCCAGTTTTTGAGGGGCACTGGAGTCTTATTGGGATGTCAGGGGACTGCTTTAGGGCAGCTACTGCCTCTCCAATGTCTAGCACAGGAAGTCTAATTTCAGATGAGGCCTCTAGATGCTGCTGTAATAATAATAATAAAAAAGCCTCTCGTACATACTATCCTTGTTCAACTATCCTTGATTTCCAATAAATGTCCCTCAGCAATCTAAGCTGAAAGCTGATATGTTAGGAACAAATGAATTACATCAGTGTTGAGAAAAGAGGAAAACAACAATTTATATTGTCAATATCTTCACAAAGGAACAGAACTAAAAACAGACCTGACAGTCAGAAATTATGATACATCTTTAACACTCTTCACACAAAACTTGAAAAAATTCTTATTGATAAATCCAGTAAAAAATCTTTTTTTTTTTTTTAAGGCTTTTTAATAAAGCTGAAAGAAGATTTTTGTTTGTTTTTAAACAAGAGAAAAACAAAATGGCAAATAAATGTACTTATTCTGCTCAGGGTTGATTACATCTTTTTCCCTCGAATGGCTTCCTCCTTGGATTAGCCTCCAAGTTTACACCACAAATATTTGAAATGCTCTTGGCTTAACTCTTGCCATAACTCTTAAAACAAGCAAAAGACCGTAAAAATATATATATATACACACACACATATATGTGTGTGTTTGGCAGGATTTCAGCTTGGGGAATCGCTCCATTTTTCCAATTTTCATTTCTCATGGACAATAATAAGCTCAAAATCACAGTGGTGCCCTGTACACAGGAAGAAGTTTTAATTGCAGAAGTTTTAGCTAACAGCTCCTTTAACTGCCAGTGAAACTTATGTATTTAATCAAATGGAGTTTGACTGAGATATGAGCAAGCTAGTAACATGTTCTTCCCGGAGCCATACCCCGCTGGTAGAGAAATAACACCTTAGATTTATTCCCTCAAGCAGTTCTCTTTTTCTCCTTAAGAAGCAGCGTTTAAAAAGCAGCATGGGACTTGTAAAGTGTAACAAGCCATCGCCAGTTACTAATATTCAGATGTGTCTTGAGTGAAACATCAAGACTCAAGCTGGCAGAGGGATGGATTTCAGACTGTTTCTATTCCGTAAATCCAGAATCCCATCAGTTTTAAAGCAAAACACGGTCAGCTTCATCCCTGCTCCTTTTGGAGAGAAATGGAATAAAGCTTAAGAAAAACATCTTTAAAGAAATCCTTGATTGGAGCTCACTCACAGTTATAAATGGAATCAATCAAGTTCATTTTTCTTTTTTAATCATCTCTCCTCTCCCCTTTAGCCAAAATACATGAAAATACATGAAAATACATTTCAAAATACATGAAAAAGCAGCACTAGCTAATACAAGATACATTTTTAGGAGAGTGACTCAAGTGCAATCAGAAATACAGTCAGAAACGTATTTCGCATAGAAGTTTTATGCAAGGCATAAATTAGAATTATATCTATCTAATATAGATATTAGAATTATTTTTAATAAACTTGCCCTTCTTTCATCACTAAGGTTGAACTGAGTATCTTTGAAACATGGAAAACTTAAGGTAGGGGCTCTTTGGTTTGTTTATTTTATTTTCCACAATTTTTGACATGAGGAATCACAGCTATTAAAACAAATCTTGCTACTTCAGTTGAACTAGACTGATAGTAAGGTTCTTTCAAGGTTTCTATTTCACCACAATTTAATAGATAACATCAGAGACATTCAAATACACTTCAGACAGACAGAAACCCCAGTTTGATAAGCAGTGATGCCAGAACCTTATGTATAAAAGGATCCAAAAGTTCAGAATTTTATCCCTGCCAGTGCTCACTGAGATAATCCAGGCTTCTTTTACTTAAAATTTGAAGGGAGAGAGGAGGTGGAAGGAGTATGAGAAAAAGACTGTTCTTAAGTTAGACATTTTTCCTAAAATGCTCTTTGAGAACATTTAGATACTTGTTTCCAGTTTGAGGAACAAGGGATGAAGTCTCTTCGATTTCAGTAAATCACAAAAACTTCTTTTTTTTTTTTAAACAGGAAAAGCAGAATGTCTTTTTTTTATTATTATTTTAACCACATTAATTAATCCACTTAACCATCACTAAGCAATTATATCCTAATATGAATCATTTAACCCCCATAAAAACTTTATCACTAGTGCGCCTATAGGAATTTAACAGAAACGCCAGTCCTGTAGTGAAGAGCTGAGACCAACCAGGTAGGCCACCCGCTACCTAAATGCCCATGAGAGCAGCAGCCACCAAACAAATCAACAAAAACACCAACAAAATCCTAAGACACAAAAATGTAACCCTTGCAATATTCCCAGCTGGGCATCCTCACAGAGAGGAGGAACACAAACTCATTGCTGAGAACTCTTCACCATGGGAACGTGGCCACTACTGACCTTCAGTACATTATATATATAATAAACCTGTCAGGGAAGGTGGAAGAAATGCCATATTAAAGTATTTTCCTTTTCTGATAAGACTTCAGTAAAATAAAATAATAAAAAAAGAACATTTTTAACAGATGTAAAGCTCAGAGCAGTTTCTCGGTAGGTATGTCTTCTCTAATAAGGTAGCTTCTTTTTTCCTTCTGCTCTTCTCAAATGTTCCCCAGACAGCAACATCTGAAACAGAGAGCTCACTAATGGAGTCAGCCTGACATTTTCACTAGTGTTTCCAGGGCTATTTAATAGTAAGAGCTCACACATAAGCTGTTCAAAGCCTTGCTGGACCTCATAAATGCAGGGAGGTCTCACAGCACTCATTATAATGAAGTACCCTATTCCTCTTTCATGGAAGAGGGGAGGCTCTGAGACAATTACTGAATTTCTCACTGCCATAAAAATGAAAGATTCAGAAACAGAAGCTAGAGTTCCCAATTTTAGTACTGTGCTCTGATCACTAGCCAATTTTTCCCTTGATACAATTTAGCATTCTTAATTGCAATGACATAGCTATTACCATAAAGAGCATTTGCAAAAAATGATGGCCTAAAT